AAAAAAAAAAAAAAAAAAAAAACTCCATTGATGAGATGAAAGAAGAAGAGAAATTAGAAGAGCCCGCGAGCCCAGGAGCCCGTTTAATGCAGGCTCCGGGCTTTGATCTCTGCATATTAGCCGCCATGGGTTATTCGACAAAGATCGACCTCGACTTGTTTAAGAAGGAACTAGGGCAAAACGTAGCTAAACATCCTCGCTTTTGTAGTTTGATGGTAATAGTGTGTGTGTGTGTGTGTGTGTGAATATGGCAAAAATTCAATTTTGGTCCGCTAACTTGTCCATTGTCCACTTTTGGTACACTATCGTTCACCTCATAAAAAATGATCCATTATGTTACATTTTTCATCAGTTTTAGTACACTATTCCAAATGGCAGGATTGCGAGATGACGTGGACCGGGATTAGAACTACGTGGAGGGATAAAATATTGACGTGGTAGGATAAAAACCTGATTTGGCATCTCGTAATCCCGGGCCACCGGATTAGTGTACTAAAACTTATGGAAAGTATAACATAATGGATCATTTTTGATGAGGTGAACGATAGTGTACCAAAAGTGGACAATGGACAAATTAGCGGACCAAAATTAAATTTTTGCCGTTTGAATATTATGCTAACACGCGAATTCTTGATAATGAAATTATTTATTTTGCTAAAAAATTGGTTGTGTAGCTATATATATATTTATAGTTGTAAATGTAATCGTGGTTGGAAGAAATGAGTAATTCTTAGAGGGCCATTAATCCCCAAAGTATGCCTAGAAAATATTTAAATTTATTTTAGCTCTTTTGTGGGCTCGACTAACTCATTTTATTGGTGGGTCGATTTGTCAGATTTTTTTTTTTTAAAAAAAAATGCATGTTTATATTATGCAATTTAATATTTTTGTTTATGTTGTTATTGAGAGCACATTTCATTTGAAAATTAGTTATATATATGTATATATATATATATATTTTCTCATGTACTTTTTTGTTGGTACAAGGTTGCCAAGAACAAAACGTTTGGCACGTTTTCATGGCAACGTACAAAAGTTGACTTGGACAAGCACGTGATTGCCCCCGATGTGGATCCCGACATGGAAAACCCAGACGATTTCATAGACAACTACATATCGAGCCTTTCGACTAGTCAAATGACCCACGAGAAGCCATTGTGGGAAGTTCACGTGCTCAATGTGAAAAATTCGGACGCAAATTCTACTGTTGTATTCAAAATCGACCACTCGATCGGGGACGGCGTTTCCCTAATATCGCTCATCTTAGCTTGTGCTCGGAAAAAGCCCGATCCTCAATCTTTGCCCCCGATTGCAACCAAGGAACGTGAAAAAGTCGCGAAGAACTATGAAATGATGAT